GTGCCATTGCGAGCATGTGTGTGCATGTGCCTGTGTATGAATACGGGATTCTGTTGTGGGTGTGTGTGCTTGTAAGCATGTGTCATTGTGTTTGAGGATGTGTGATTATGGGTGAGTGTCCATGTGTTGTGTTGGGGTTGTGTGTAAACTTGTGTGGGTCTCTGTATCATTGTGTGGGTTTGTATGTGTATGCATGTGTTATGTGTGTATGTCTGTGTGTAGCTATCTTCATGTGAATCTGTGCGTTGTGTCACTGTGTGTGACTATGTGTGTCTGTGTGTGTCATGTTGGATCTGTATGTCTATGTCTGAGTCTGTGTATGTGAAAATCTATGTGTGGCGTCTTTGTGTATGTCTGTGTGAATCTATGATTATATAGTGTGTTGTGTGTGTTTGTGTATTTCTGTGTATGTGTGTGTATCTGTGATTGTGCCAGGGCTAGTGTTATATCCTACCTTTGCTACTCAGGACTGAGGACCCCAACGTCCCCTTCTAGAGCCTTAGTTTCTCATCTGCAAAATGGAAACACACAGGACTTCCCCTCCATGGCCAAGGAGGAGTGGCATGGTCAGGACCAAGCATCTCCAAGGCCTGACTCCATGCTGTGTCCTCTGTTCTCTGGGTGTGGCAACTGTGGTGTTAACACTTGGGGTGCTATCCTCCTGTCATCCCTGCATGAACTACTCTGTGAATGCCACTCGCTTTTTCAAAGTTTACTTTTTAATTACTCAAGCCATTCATAAACATTTAAGGAGAGTACAAAAGTAAAAATGGAAACTTCCTCATTACCCCTACTTTGGTGGGACCTTAGACCAGGGAGGCCCTATTGTCATCCGGCTTTGTTTTAGCAATGCAGCTGGAACAGACAGACATTCTTTTAAAGGACACATGTATATTCTCATAAAGGTTACATGTATGTTCTTATAAAAGGTACATTTATATCTTATAAAGGATACATGTATATTCTTTTGTTATTGTTAATCCTCACCCTAGGATATTTTTTCCACTGAAATTCAGAGAGAGTGGAAGAGAAGGAGGGAGGGAGGGAGGGAGAAGGGGGGGGAGAGAGAGAGAGAGAGAGAGATCTGAGAGAGAGAGATCTGAGAGAGACACAGTGATAGGTTGTCTCCTGCATGAACCCCAACCAGAGCTCTGATCCAACCTGCAACCCAGGTACATGCCCCTTGACAGGGAATCGGACCTGAGACCCTTAGGTTCCAGGGCTGATGCTCTAACCACTGAGAACACCAGCCGGGGCTACATGTATATGCTTATAAAAGGTGCATTGACATCTTATAAAGGATACATCTCTCTCTCTCTCTCTCTCTACATACACACACACACACACATATAATATATATCTATATATAGATACATATATAAATATATAGATAGATATATATAAATTTTTTAATTCCAAATGAGCTCTTGAGTCTTCTGGCTGAGTCTACAGCAGGGATTCTCAACCAAGGTTGGTTCTGTCCCCAGGGGACACTGGGCAATGTCTGAGGGCATTTGTGATTGTCACGACTGGGGGTATTCCTGGCACATAGTGGGAGGAGGAATCTGGTTCAGACCTCGCTTTCCCCAGCATGTCTTCTGGAGATGTCTCCATGTAGGAACCCCTTGTTTTACGGAGCTGCATACTATTCCAGCCTGTATCCATGTTGGCTGTGTCAAACCAGTTCCTTGCAAATGAACATGGTGGCTGGCTCCAAATTGTTAGCAGTAATGTTACAGGATTTCTGTCAACACTACTGTGCATCTGTATCTGGGGCAGTTACAGAGAAGCCTAAGAGCGAATTCTAGGAAGAGTGCATTTTTATTTTTTAACAAAGGAGCTAAATTGTGCTCCCAAATGCCAGGAACTATATTATGCACCCCCTTTCTGAGCCCTTCCACACTAAGGTCCGAATAGTCCACTAGTTGCCTTTTTAAGAAACTACTATGTGCAGGCACTCTTCTAATCCCTCACTGCCCTCCCCAAACTCTCACTGGTTTACCCACAACCCAGGGGGTAGGAACTATCATTGATCACCCCATTTCACAGAGTGGGAAGCTGAGACACAGGAAGGCTAAGCTGGTTGCTGGAGATATAGATTCAGGCTGAAACCCTGCAGCACAGCTGACTTGCTGTGGACCTACTATGTGCACTGCAGGGGCCTCTCCTGCCTGAACTGTGGAAATTTATATATATATTTGCAAAAGTAGGTTTACAGTTGTATGTGAAACACTGAGTTTATATTCTTGTAGTATTTATTAATTATCGTATTATAACTGTAAACCTACTTTTGTGTGTGTGGTTGCTATTAGTGAACTTGCAGAGGCTCTACCATCCACCACAAGTAATATTTTTTTAAAATATATTTTTATTGATATTTTAGAGAGAGAGGAAGGGAGAGGGAGAGAGAGATACAAACATCCATGACAGAGAAACATGATGGGCTGCCTCCTGCACACCCCCACTGGGGATGGAGCCTGCAGCCGGGGCATGTGCCCTGACCTGAATTGATCCTGGTGACCTCCTGGTGCAAGGGACAACGCTCAATCCATTCAGCCACACTGGCTGGGCACAACTAATAATATTAATACAGTCCTCACACACATTATCTCAAGGACTCTGATATCTGCAGTCTTCAAGATGCATCCTAATGTTGCCACTTCACAGATTTGGAAACTGAGGTTCCAAGAAGGGCAGTCTGTGCTCTCCAAACTTTACCTTGGAAAAGAACCTCAACTGCTACATGAAGATTGCAGGCAGGGCGGGGATGGGGTGGCTATCTGAGGAGAATGTTCAGAAATCATTTTAACTTTTAAATGTCTGTGAATTGGAGATTCTGCCATATACGTGCTCCTGGCATCTTTTTAAATAATAAAATATTGCTTTATTTTATGTTGGTATTTGGGTTCCTAGACACCTACTTCCCCCATCCATCCTGGGGTTTGAAATGCCCACCACAGCTGCACAATAGGGATTTTATTATTATTATTATTTTTTAATCCTCACCTGAGGATGTTTTTCCATTTATATTCAGACAGAGTGGGAAGGAGAGATAGAGAGAGAGACAGAAATATCGATGTGAGAGAGACAGACACATCGACTGGTTGCCTCCCGCACAACCCTGACCAGGGCCAGGTACTGAACTGCAACCAAGGTACAAGAGGTACGTGCCCTTGACCAGAATGGAACCTGCAACTCTTTGGTCTGTGGGCGATGCTCTAACCGCTGAGCCAAACCGGCCAGAGCCACAATAGGGGTTTTAAAAAACATTTGTGAAGTGCTCAAGATGTGCTAAGCGCTGTTTGAATAACTGTCAGCCCCATGCAGTGAGGAGCACATGGGAACCAGGGAATATGTCTGCCTGTGAATCCTGCTCCCTCCTAGTCCAGCACTGGAGCCCTAGGCAAGTGTCCTGCATTCTGTGGGCCTCAGTTTCCCCCCCCCCTCGTAATACAGGGAAATATCAGGTTTGCTGGCATCTTTCATGACCCTGGGCATGGGGCAACTGCCCCATGTTGGTAACAGGGTGTCATTGGCCTCAGAATGTTCAGAGAGACTAATCAAAATTGCCAAGCTTTCTAACAGTGTGTTGGTGTACATATGATAGGAAGTCAAGGCTCTGCTAAGTAACATTATCCTTATGCCAACTGACCTCATTGGGTGGGCACTGCTAGGCCACTTTACAGCACAGGACACCAAGGGATAGAAGTGAGGGACAATGTCCCCCTAGTCTTTGAGGTGAGAAGTAGTGCTTGGGCAGCCTCTGAGCTACCTGGGAGAATTGGGGAGTGAACTCAGGAGGGGAAGAGTTGAGGCCAAGGTCATCAGGCACCCTGGGGACTCAGACTGGGGAGGGGGCAGGTCTGTGCTTAGTTATTTTAAAGGGAGAACAATAGAGGTTGAAGAATGTGGGCTACTAGGCCAGATGGCCTGGCTCCAAACCACTGTGCCTCAGTTTTCAGATCTGTGAAATGGGCACATGGCTAGGGTCGGTGGGAATTAATTGATGCCTGGAAAGAGGCTGCAAGGGCTTATCTGGCCGGCCTGAGGTTCTGTCTGGACATCTTCCTTTTGGGGTGGTGAGGAGACATATGGGGGGCCAAAGTCACCCCCTCCCCAGTTCCCCTTTGGTGCTAGCAAAAGAGGAAAGAGCAGATTCCTAGAGGATCCTGGGTTAGCTGAGGTCCCTCTGGCCATTGAAGGCGCTGTTGAAGCCAATCCCCTCTGCCTGGGCACTGCAGCCCCTGTTTGGCTCTCGGGGGACCAGGGGGAGGGGTTGCAGGGGACCCCCCTCTCGTGCCACGCACCCCAGGACGTACATCTTTAAGGGAAAAGCCGTACGCTGCGCGGCCTCTGCACACGTCACTGCTTCATTCTCCACCCCCCCCACCCCCACCCCCTTGGCTCCTTTCCCCAACTTCCCGGCCAGCTCCGGGCGGGTTGGAGTGGGGGTGTCTTAAAAATCCACCTCCGGCCCCCAAAATGTCCAGCAACAGCCCGGCGCCTCCACCCCACTTGACTTGGGTGGGAGGTCCTGGGGGACCCTCTGCGGTCTCATTGCTTAGGGCCACGGGTCCCCAGCGGGTATTACGAGCTGTGCCGAGCGGCTAGAAATTCGTAATTGCAATAATGGGGTTCATGAGGCATAAGGGGAGCGTCTCTCCTTCGTTCGCGCTCTTTTTTTCCCTCGTTTCTTTGAAAGTTGGATGTTGAGAAGTGGGAGGTTCGGGTGGGAGGGGAGAAAAATTGGAGGAGAGGGAGGGAAAAGGTTGCCAGAGGGAGGAGAGACAGAGACACAGAGACGGAGGAGGGAAGAGGGAGAGAGAAGTGGGGAGGGGGGGCAGGAAAAGAAGAGAAAGGGAGAGAGAGACGCAGGAGAGAGGGAGGGAGGGAGCGGGAGGGAGGAGGGAGGGAGACCGAGGGAGGAGGCAGCGAGGAGCGCGCGCCGGCCGCGTCCGCGGGGGGGGGGGGGGGTTGGAAAAATGACTCAGTAAGTTCAGCGCGCCCGCTCCGGCCGGCCCTGCGCCTCCCGCCGCGCCCGGGATGTATTCGTCCCCGCTCTGCCTGACCCAGGTACGCCCCCTGCCCGTGCCGCCCGCGTCCCGGCCCCGGCCCCGGCCCCGTCCCCCGCATCCCGGCGGGGGAGTTTGGAAGCCCGAGGAGGCGGGACGAAAATGGCACGCGTTCCTCCCGCCGCCCCGGCCGGATGCCCTGACCAAGGACCAGGGACCGGTGGGGGATGGGCTGGTCCGGGACCCCCTCCTACACCCCGAACACTCACCCCGGACTCCTGCTGCGCCGCTTCACCCCCGCCCCAGACTCCCAGGACCTTCCCCCCATCCCGGACGTGGGTCTCCGGCTGCAAGTTTGCCCACCCTCATGCAGGACGAGCTCCCCCACCCACTCGGGAAGGTCTGAGCGGCGCCCCCAAAGACAGGGCTCTGCATGAACCCTGTGCCTAGACTGGGGCCTGCCCCTAAGAGGAATTGAGGGGGTCCTGGCTGGTTTCTAGGCTCCCCACCACTCTTGATGTGTTCCTGGGATCCTCTCCCCACCAAGGTTGCACCCCGTCACTCCGGCCGCCTTTTCCCCCATTATTGGCCCACGTGTGCGTGGAGGGGGAGAGGGCGCACGAACTTGGAGGCACCAGCCGTGGGAGGAGGGGTGCTCGACTTCCCGGGTAAATCTCCTGCCCCCCCCCCGCACTCCCGCCCCTGCGTGCTCCCACCACGGTCCCGATGTTTTCGCCGCATCGATTTTGGGATTACTGAGCCGCCGGGAGGAGCCGGGAGGAGCCGGGAGGCCAGTGCTCCGGGGTCTGGCAGGCACTGCGGCGCTTCTCACGCCCTCGCCTACCGGCACCTGCCCCTGCCCCCTCCCGTAGTCTCTCACCCCTGGCCGAGCTCCCGAGCTGCCCAGTGGGCCCTGGTGCAGTGACGGGTGGGTGAACTACCCTTCCCCAGGCCGCATCCAGGGACGTCCCAGCTTCCTCACAGACAACACCCCCCTTCTGCTCGTTCTACCTTTCAGCATTGCCCCCCATCCCATTGTCTTTGAGTGTCTGTAGGCCATTGGGGTTCTGGCCTCAGTTTCCCCTGAGGTGGCATGGGGCTAAGACAGGTTCTGGAGAAAAGGACAGCACGGCCTCCAAACTGTAAAATGCAGTCCTGAGGAGCACTGTGTGCGAGTATGGCAGTGACCAGTTTGGGCCCCAGAGACTGTCAGTGGCTGCCAGGGGTCCTACCACTCATAATCCTGGGGTCCTCCTCATTCACAGGATCTTTGTCACTGGCCCCTTCCAAGCACCCATTGAGGAGTTCCTGGCTCTAAGCAAAGACAGTGAGGGCTGGTGCTGAGGGGTCTCAGGCTTGTCTTACCCGTGATCTTCTGGGTGACCTTGGGCAAGTAGTACCTGCCCCTCTCCAGGCCTCTATTTCCCCCTCTGCGCAACTTTGGGGAGGGTCCCTCAAAGTAGTCAGCGCTGGCCTAACTAAGTCTCTCAGTCATCCTGAAGTTCCCCAATAACAAGTAGGCTTCTAGTCCAGTTGCTGCATGACCTTGGGCCTTAGGGGTAGGTGGCCTGGTTGGCTCTGGGTGCCTCTGCCCCTCTGCTCTTCTGCACACTCCCTAGAGCCACAGGGGGGCCAAGCAGAGGAAGGCTATTCCAGACCAGGAGGTTGGAAGGCTGCCTGTTGTCACTGCGCCCTGGAATTCCCCCATCAGGACGCCTCAGGAGACAGGCCTCCATCCACGTTGCAGAGAGGGGGTGGCAGAGAGAACCGGAGCCCTGGCATCACCAGTGAACTTGGTAACTCACTCGGCGTGCCTTTCTCCAGGAGCAGGGCAAGGATCAGCCAGGTGGCTCTTGGGGAGAAACATGAAATTACAAAAATCAGAGGTTGCTGGGTGCAAGGGACAGGGAGACAAAGAGACTGAGACCGGCAGAGAGAACCAGAGCACTCCTGCTGGGATAGGGAGGGAGCAGCCCAAACGCAAAGGCTCCCCCCACTCTGTTTATTCTCCCATGTGCCCTCCCCCATCCTGGAGGGGAGCCTCCAACCCCCCAACCTCAGTTTAATCCTCGCAAGCCCAGCAAGGTCTAGAGTCTCTAGCTTGAGGACCTGAGAGGACCCTGAGAGCCCCTGCAGGACCCTCACCCCTGGCTGTCTGGCTCAGTCTCCCTAATCTGCCTCCACCCCATTTGTCTCTGTCTTTATCTCTCCCTCTCCCTCTTTCTCTGTCACTATCTCTCCATCTCTGTCTCTCCCTGACTATCTCTGCTTCTATCTCTGCTTGTCATTCCATCTCTCTATCTCTTCCTGTCTCTGTTGTCTCTCTCTCCATCTCTCCACCTTTATTTCTCATCATCTCTTTCCCCTCTTTGTCTGTCTCTCTGCTTACCCCATCTGTCTCCCTGTGTTTCTGTCTCTGAGCCTCCATGTACCCCCTTGACGACTAATTTTACAACCTGAGTCCAGCCTAAAATAGCTCCCTTTTAGCTGATCCCACCCGATCCACCTAGGAGCTGAGACTGGCTTGGGGGGTGAGGGGAGTAGCTCTGGTGCCAGCCGCCCTGTGCCCCCGGCCCTGCCCACCTGGGGGGGTGGCCCTGAAGGATTCTGGGAGCCCCGTCCTTGTTTCAATGGTGGTGACTCAAGCGCTTTTTCACTTTTACTCTTAAGAGGAACTGTGTGGAGCAGCCGTTACTTCCATAAATCCTGCCAGCGGGAAGGCCGGCCTCCCTGTGCTTGCCCCACTCTGGGCCTCCCTCCCTGCCTCCCTCCTGCCTGCTGCCACCGCCACGTTAGTTATTCTGGGTTTGGGGCCAAATCTCTCTTGGCTGCAGTGCCCAGGATTCCCGGGGCCACAGCCAGTGCAGCTGCCAGGGCCCCCTCCCTCATTCATTCATTCTTTCCTTCATTCCTTCACCTGGGTCCTTCTCAGGGAGGCACTTTTTACTGCCATTTCTCCAGCAGGAGGACTAAAGCTGGGAGAGGGCCCCCAACTTTTGTTTGATTTAATAGATGTTCATTAAGTACCTCTTATGGGGATGAGGGGAGGCAGAAAGCAGTGAGGTCTAGCCCTGTTATGGGCTCTGCCAGGGTCCAGCTTCCCCAGCACCTCTGGGCTGGGAAAGGGGCCAAGATCAGAGAGAGCCAAGGCCTGCCCAGGGCAGCACAGCATGGCTGGTGAGGCCAGGGTTGGAGCCACTTTGCACCTTGTTGGTTGGTCACACCTGGGCAGGTGGGCACTCCCTGTGTGCCCCCCACCCAGGGTCTGATGGCCTCTGAATAGACCCGTAAAAGGGACAACCTTGCTCCATGTTTCTGTCTCTCTCTATCTCTCCATGTCTGTGTCTCTCCCCCTCCCTTCTCTGCAGTGGATGTGCCTCAGCACCAGGGCCCAGCGCCTTGTAAATCTGCTGGGATTCTGGCCTAGTCAGCATTCTCTCTCTCTCTCTCTCTCTCTCTCTCCTCTCTCCCTCTCCCTTTCCCTCCCCCTCTCCTTCCTTCCCTCTCTCCCTCCTTCTGTCTTTCTCCCTCTCTGTTTCCATCTCCCTCTCCCTCATTCCCTCCCTCAATCCCTCCCTCCCTCTGTCTCTCTGTCTCTTCTCTCTTCCTGCCTGAGCCTCCCTCCCTCCCTGTCTCATGACAAATGGGTAGAAAATGCCAAGTCCTGGGGCCTCTTGCCCCATGCAGCCCCTGCCCATGTTCATGCACCTCAGTGCATGTTGGCCTGTATCAATAGTGCAGGGGCACCCTCCACACTGCCATGCACACTCACTGACATCACACATATGGGGACAAAGCCTGCCCCACTTCAGATGTGCTCTAAGGCAGGAGGGGGAAGAGAATCCCCCTAGGGGGTCCCTCACACCTACATGCAGATCTTGCTCAGGAGGCTCAAATGGAGTTCTTTCCAGCTGTGTGACTGGGCTGGTGACCTAGTCCTGCCATGCCTCATGTCCTCCTAGTGCATTGAAATGACCAGTAACCTGCAACTCAGGCTGTCCGAGGATTCAGGGAAGCAGAACACCTTTGAGGTGCTGGGCATAGGGCCTGGCACACAGTCAGTCCTCATAAATAGTTGTTGCATGAATGGATGGCTAAATGGATGGATGGTTCTGCCAGCTGAAAGAAGGCACTTGAGTCTCTCTGAGCCTCAGCCTCTCTTCCTATGTCCTCCAATGGAGAACATAATCATGCCTTTTTTTCGATTCTTCACCAACTTCACTCAGTGCTTGGTATACAGTAGGCACCAAATAACTGCGAGTAGTAGTGGCCCCACAAAAACTGGAGCTTTGACCCAAGAGGGTTTTTCTGTTGAACTTTCCTCCTGGCTCAGCCCTGTCTAGGTTTGGTCAGACTAAGTGGGTACCAGCAGCCGCTGTTAGTTGGGGTGTGTGAACGGGACCAACAGGCAGAAGATGAGATTGTTCCTTCACTGATCTGGATTCTGGAGATAGAGCAATGAACAAAACAGATCAAATCCATCCCCTAGAGGGGCTTTAGTTTAGGTGGGGGTATGGGCAGGAAGCAAGGTGATGGGGCAGGACCAGACTGCCTCTTTGGCTGGAGTGGGTCTCCCCAAGGAGTAGGTGGTAGGGGCGTGTGGCCCAGAATGGAGCAGGGGAAGGGAACCTCACAGAATTCAGAGAACGCATACAGACTGCAGAGTGAGCATCCTTAGGGAGCCCCACCGATGGCGTCAGACCACGTGCTCAAGGGGCCCAGCAGGGGGTGTTGAGGAGTCGGGAGGTCCACAGTCATAGGGACTCAGGTTGAAGGGACCCAGCTCAGCTCCTTCCGGGCCCTGTGACTTTGGGCCAGTGACTTCATTGCTCAATGCCTTAGTCTCTCCCTCCAGACAGTGAGCACAGTAAATGCTCAGCCTCCAAAAAGCACAACCTTGCTCCTGTCTCTCTTGAACACCATGGCCCTCTCACTCAGCCCTCATTCTCTTCCTGGGATACCAGAAAGGGAAATCAGAGATCCAGGGCTCACACTCACTGGTCAGTTTGTTAGGGGTTTTCACTCTCTGGTCTGTTTACCAAAATTCCTCCTCTCAACCCATAAGGTCCTGCAAAACCAGCCTCTATCCCCTCCTGCCCTCACCCCCTCCACTCTCCCTCCTGTTCACTCCGCTGTAGTTTCACCTGCTTCCTCCCTGTTTCCATAAAATGTTAGGCACGGTCCTGCCTCCAGACCTTTACCTGTGCTGGTGCTGCTTTCTCCACCTGGAAAGCTTCTACTCGGGATTGTCATCTTTCAGGTCTTCGTTCAAGTGTCCTGTCCCAGCCCTGGCCGGTTTGGCTCAGCGGTTAGAGCGTCGGCCTGCGGTCCTGAGAGACCCGGGTTCGGTTCCCGCTAAGGGCACGTACCTCGGTTGCAGTTCTTCCCCGGCCCTGGTTGGGTCGTGCGGGTGGCAGCCACTCGATGTGATGTGTCCCTTTCACATCGATGTTTCTCCCTCTCTTCTTCTCTTTCCCTTCCACTCTGTCTGAACAAAAAAAAAAGGAAAAATGTACTCGGGTGAGGATTAAAAAAAAAAAAAGTGTCCTGTCCCATAAGAACCCTCCCTGACCACCCCCAGCTGAAAAACAACCTCCATGCCCTGGCCCCCTTCAAATACAAAGCTTTAAGTTTCTTCAAACCACTTAGTTCAACCTGATGTTTTATTACATAATTGTTGGCTTGTTTAATGTCCATCCCTGCCCCAGATCAAGATCTGGGTGAGGGCTGAGCCTAGGTCACTGCTGGGTCTGCAGCACCATGCATGGAGCTGGCACCCAGGTCTGAGCACTCAGTAAATGTTTGTTGAACAACTGAATGATTCTCTCCCTCATTAGATAAGAGCTGTTCATAAGCTCTGATGCTCTGAGTTTGGGGGTAGGGGGGACCCTAGGTTAGGATCCCTGACTCTGGTGCCATGTGGGTCTGCATTCACATATGAGCTCTGCTGTTTGCCACTTCACCTGAATTTAACCTGGAGAAGGGGACATTGGAATCAGGGCTTTGAAGGATACATAGGATATTAAGCACTTAGGAGGTAGATAAGATAGATTCTCAGTAATGTTTGTTGAATTGCTGAGTGAATGAAGGAGAGAGAATCCTTCCGGGAACACTTTTGGGGTGAGAATTGGAGTTCTGTGTGCTGGTTTGCTTCCCTGTACTGTCGGGTTGGGAGGGATACAGGGAGGAGCACTGCCCAGTGCACAGTTGTCCAATCCATAGGGCCCAGCAAGGGCTTAGACCCAGGTGCCTACCTCCAAGCTGCTGTGCCCTCTTTGGCCAAGAAGTCCCAGTAGACCAAGTTGGGTTTCTGGGAAAGGCCTAGCCTTGCTCCACCTCCCTCTGCTCTCTGGTTACCAGGGCAATAGACAAGCTCCCTAACCCCCAACAGGCCCTCACATCTCTTTCTGCCCATTATACAAAATGAGAAACTGAGGCCCAAAGTGGAGCAGTGATTTGTTGTTGGGTCATATAGAAGGTGAAAATGGAGGCTGATGTCACCCAGCCTCATTCCCTCACAGGGTCTTCCTGACAATGAGTGCCTCAGCCCTGGGACTGAGGGTTGGAGGAGGAACAAGAGCTGGACTCAGACCCCACAGCTTGTGTGTTCCAAGCTAGGTCTGAGGGAACCCTGAGGAGAGCAGGAAAGGCTGCCTGAAGGAAGGAACACTGGAGATAGGGTTTTGAGGGATGTGTAGGAGTTTGGGAGGATTCTCAGAATCCTCAGCTGTCTCCTGTGCCCTGTCAGCCAGTGAGGGCATTGGGAGTGCCTGTAGAAGAGGCCTTGGTGGGACAAAGAGAGTGACAGGCCTGCTTCTCATCTGGCCTGACTTCCCTGGGAGGACGAGGGAGGCTGGGGCAGCAGGTCCATGACCCAGTTACGGACTGTTTGTCTTCTTTCCTCCAGGACTAGCTAGGGTCACTGGTGACGTGGGCTCCCACCCCTGCTCGCCTCCCTGGCACCTTTCCCCAGAGAGGGTGTATATCAGAGAGGGGGAGGAGGACTCAGAGAGGGAAGGAGCTGGAAAAGGGACGGGGACTCGGAGATGAGGAACCCAGACCAAGAAAAGGAATTGAGGGAGAGGGACTCAGAAGTCGGGAAGTGCTCAGGGAGAAAGGCAGTTAAGGAAAGGAGTCTGGGGACTGTAGCATACCCCTGCTGCCTCTTCCAACTCCCTCTTATCAGGGCCCCAGTAATCAACAGAACTTGGGTGGCAGCCACGGCCCAACGGCCCAACATCCACACCGTTGCCTTGGCATCCCCTCCACAGGACAGTGACCTGTGCCTCTGTCGACCTGGCCCCTGGTTCCCCAGCCAGATGGCCTGGGTTCTGGTCCTGGCTCTGTTGACTGGCTGTGTGACCCTGGGCGGGTGGCTTCCCATCTCTGGGTCTGGCATGTCAAGTGGCATCCAGGCACAGTGCAGGCAACTCAGGTTGGATAGGGACTGGCAGGGGATGGGCCCCTCAGTCCTTCCTCTGCCTCAGCAGGTCAGCGGGTGGAGGCAGCACAAAAGGGCCCAAGGTTCAGTCCCTGCCACAGTTGTTCCAGTGACTCACACTTTGGGGCACATAGGACTGGGGAGCTGGGCCCATAAGCCGAGCCCCCTGCCATGCCACCCTAGTGAGGGCAGGAGGCTATTTTCAGAGCCTGGGTAATAGGTGAAATCTGAGGTCATCTCCCTCCCCCACAGCACCCCATGGCCAGAGATGGCTCAAGGGGAGATGAAGCACAGAGCAGGGAAGTTATACCCGTCAGGGGGTACCATGGGCATCCAGGTCTGGAGGTAGGACTGAGCTGATCCACACCTATCTAGAAAGCAAACCAAGAGCCCAGCGCAACTGTTACTCTCTCCGAGACCCCAGCCTGGCGGAGAGCAGGCTGTTCTGAGAAAGGGGTCTCATGGCCTTCGTGAGGGTGGGAATCCTGTATTATCCTCACACAGGCCCTCAGAGTGGGACCTAGACCAGGTCTCCACCCCTCTCTGAGCCTCAGTTTCCCCATCACTCAATGTATAGCAAAGCCATCGGCCTTTTTCTGCCCCCTGGAAGATTGCAAGCAACCAAAGTAATCATATCAACATCAATAGTGAGAGTAATAGCTAATGCAGCTTTTTGAGAGCTGGACAGATAATGGGGTTCATAAGCCAGGAAGAGATATCACCCCATGCAAGAAGCCTAGCACAGTCCAGGCGAGAGTAGGGAGGTAGGACCAGTGTTTTTCTTTTGTCTTTGTTTCTCCTTGAATGTCTCCCTCCTTGAGACTAAGAAACCAGGTCCTGGATGTTCTGCAGACTGTTTCCCTTGCTAGAAAATGGAGAGAATGATGCAGTCCTCACATCCCCTTAGAAGAGGATGGGGTTTCCCATGTGGCTCTCCAAGGGGCCCTACAAGGGCTGCTGCTTTCATGGGGGAAGTCAGATGGGTGTGGGGTCTAGTCCCAGTCCCTCATGACTACTAGGTCCTCTCTTGGGGGCCTCTGTTTCCTCATTGTGGGCTCAACAACACTGATTAGGCACAATGGGAGGGAGGTGTTGAAGTCATAACTCTGGCAAGGTCTCAGCCTCCCCAGGCCTTAGTTTGTCCATCTGTGGAATGGGTCTGTGGGGTGGAGGGAGGTGAACTGGCTCCCAGGGGCCCCTGTCTCTAGCTTTGAACCTCCACAGTCGAGCTACCCTGTCCCTAGTGTATTCTGACCTATATCTTGGGCCTCAGCTTTCCTTGCCCCTTCAATGGGCTTATGCAGGAGCCCCCATCTTTCTATCAACCCCTGACATTCAGGTGTCCTAGTCTTGGCCTGTGGGCCTCAGCCAGTCCTGTCTGTACATGTGGTCTTTAGAAGCAGCTCCTTATCCTCATTTTTTCCGTCAGTGCCCATGGCCAGTAGACGTAGCCTTGGACCCCGTCTGGTGTCAGCTTCCTGTGCTGAGCAGTGGGTCTGAGCAAGGAGCCCCCAGACTATTCCCCAAGCCTGGTTTCTCCTGCAGCCATTAGGACCCACTGTGTGCTCGGCCCTGCTCTCAACATTGGAGCTCACGCTACAACCTGGGGCCCTACATCAGCCATCTGTTTTTGTCAATAAAGTTTTATTAGAATACTACTCTGCCCATCATTTACATCTCACCTATATTGCACTTGCAGTGGAGTAGTGACAACTGAAATATTTACTATCTGGTTCTTTATGGTATTTTCAAACCTCAGTTCTAGAAAGCAGAGAATGGACACATGACATCCTCATTCTTCTGACTTTAGTTTTCCCACCTGTACAATGGGTCCCCATCAGCCCTCACCTGGGACCCTCAGCTTGTTCTGTTTTTGGGTGCAAGATAGCCTTTCATGAATGTCTTCCTTGGCCTGGACTTTCCACTCAGTCTAAGTCTCAGTTTCCCCATCTGAGCAATGGGTTCTGGCCTGTCCCCCATGAACTTCTGCTGGGTCCCTTCGGCTTTCCCCAGGAGGTGGAGAGCTCTGCAGTGACCCCTGCCCACATCTGCCTGGCTCTCTCCCACTTACTGAGTTAGCCTGGGGGTTCTGGGACTTTAGTCTTCTGGTCTGAGCAGTGGGTCCCTAGCACCTCCTGACTTCCGGCCTCTCCCACCCACAGGATGAGTTCCACCCATTCATCGAGGCGCTGCTGCCTCATGTGCGCGCCTTCGCCTATACCTGGTTCAACCTGCAGGCGCGGAAGCGCAAGTACTTCAAGAAACATGAGAAGCGAATGTCCAAGGACGAGGAGCGAGCGGTGAAGGACGAGCTGCTGGGTGAGAAGGCCGAGGTGAAGCAGAAGTGGGCGTCGCGGCTGCTGGCCAAGCTGCGCAAGGACATCCGGCCCGAGTGCCGTGAGGACTTCGTGTTGGCCATCACCGGCAAGAAGGCGCCGGGCTGTGTGCTCTCCAACCCTGACCAGAAGGGCAAGATGCGCCGCATCGACTGCCTGCGCCAGGCCGACAAGGTGTGGCGGCTGGACCTGGTCATGGTCATCCTCTTCAAGGGCATCCCCCTGGAGAGCACCGATGGCGAGCGCCTGGTCAAGGCAGCTCAGTGCGGCCACCCAGTGCTCTGCGTGCAGCCCCACCACATCGGAGTGGCAGTCAAGGAGCTTGACCTCTACCTGGCCTACTTCGTGCGGGAGAGAGGTGAGCTGGGAGGAGATGGGGTGCATGTGTCCAAGGGGAAAGGTGGGCTCAGGCAAGGTCAGAGGGAGGAGGCAGCATATGGGAGGTCTGATGTAGGAGGTGGGTCTAGGCATAGTTCGAGGGAGGTGGCAGACCAACAGGAGGTCCCAAGGGGAAGGCGGACCCATGGGAAGTCCCAGGGGGTTTGTGGGCTATGGCAAGGTCCATGGGGGAAGACAGAAGAGGGAGTAGGCAGACCTAAGCAAGGTCCAAGGGAAGAGGCAACCTATATGAGGTTGGGGTGGGGAGGCAGGACTTTGCAAGGTCAGAGGGAAAAGGTGGCCCATGCGCTGTAAGGGGGAGGTGGATGCAGTGGGAGGGCCTCTGGGGGAAGTGGGCCTACACTGGGGTTAGAGGGGACAGGCTCATGCGATGTATAAGTCTAAGGGAAGGAGATATAGTTCATGGAGAGTCTGAGGAGGGAGGCAGCTACATCCTGAGAATCTGAAGGTAGAGGCAAGCCCTGGCCTTGATGTCTGAGGGAGCTGGCATGCCCTTGAGGTCTCAGGAGATGAGACCTTGTCCCAGAAGGTCTGAAGGACAAGATACGGCCTGTTGAGAACAGGGATGAAGACAGGAGAGTGACTGATGGGAGACAGACAGATGGGAGATGAACAGTCTGATCCCCCTGGGGACAGCCGGGAGAGTGCTGGAGTTGTGCACTGTGAACACTGGTTGATTGACTCAGACCTGCAGCAGAGGCCTGATGAGGCACACATTTGCACTGTGAGTGGGAAGCTGAGGTGTGCTGTATGACCGGCTAGGTCACCACCCTCTCTGGTCCCTAGTGTCCCCAGCTCTGGCCCTTCCAGCTGGGCATTTGATGGTTCTGTGGTCAAGTGCCTGAGGTTGAGACCAGCAGGGGTTTTGAGACTGGGGGAAATCCATGGCAGCTTCCTGGAAGAGGAAGTGTGGCTGAGCTGAGCTCTGCAGGACAGCTGGGCAGTGATGGGCGTGGAGGTATTCCAGGTGGTCAGCAGCCTAGGTGGAGATGTGGAGGATAGATATGTGGTCCAGCCTCTCAAGGTCACAGGTGCTTGTGGCCAAAGCTACAGCCAGTTTCCTGTCTGTGTTTCTGTGTTCCAAATGCAACCCCCGTGTGACTCTGGACGTCTCACTGTTCTGTGCCTCAATTTCCCCCTCTGTACAATGGGGATAACGGCCATGCAGACTGCTAGCGCTCGTATAAGGATTAGATGAGGCTGTGGAGCTCCAGGTCTCCAGGGTGTGTAGGAGGAGAGCCAGGCAGAGTTTCCCAGTCTTGACCTTGATTCCTTGACCTTGACCCCATCTGTTCCCTGCCCCACCTCCGCCAATTAGCAACAAGCCCACTGGACAGGCAGTAAAGCAGTGTTGGCAGGGTGTGGAGGCAGGGAAGTGGAGGAGGTGGCTGTCTCAGGCAGGGGGCAGGGGGCAGGGGCTGCCTTGGCTCATTACCATGCAGGTCCAGGTCTCCCCCTCCACATCCATCCTCTGCACCCAGCCCCACCCCCACCTCCTCTGAGCTGAGCTGATAAAATTTTGAAGCAGAGTTTTCTGCCAGCGTCAGCACAATCTCCGGGCGCCTCCCCTCCCCCACCTGGCCCCCTCCCCCCCTCAGCTCAGCAGGCAACCTATGCCTCCAGGCCTCCCCAGACACCTTTAAGCCCCACTACTAGCCTTTGCCGGCCAGTCTGGTTAACCTCCTTGAATGAGGGCCAGGAAAGGTCAAGGCTGAACCCTCCCCTGTTTCCCGCCCACTTGATTATCCCAGGGGAATCCCTGCTCACACTGGACCCAGCTGACCCAGCCCCAGCTGGCCTGGAGTGAGGGTGGTGTGTGAGAGCTGGGCCTGGATTCCAGCCCTAACTCAGCTGCCTGCTGCTGGTTGATCCCGGGCAAGTTGCTTAACTTCTCTGTGTCTCGTTTTCTTGTCTATAAAATGGGAAGCTCACAAGTAGCTGCTGGTAGGAACATTGGGTGCTCATGGTTGTTGAAGACAAGTATCCGGCACAGGGCTAGGGTTCCATGGATGGTCATTGTACGTCCTCGTTAGTTATGATTTCCCACCTCCAGGCCTTTGCCCATGCTGTTCCCTCTGACTGGACTTTCTTTCCTGTATGGAAAACTCTTCCTTATGTTTCAAAACTCCAACTCCTAGCTCCACTTTCTCTCTGTCAGGCATTGTTTTCTGACAGCTTAGCAATTTTTTCCCTTCTCACAGCAGCCCCATGAGTCAGGAATCATTGTTGTACCTGTTTTACAGAAAAGGAAACAGAAGGGAATGCCCAAGGTCACACAGCCAAGGGAGGGGAGAAGTGGGATTTGGATGTAGGCAGCTTCTGAGTGGACACCCCCACCCCTACCCCCAGCCGTCCACACTCAGTGGCAGAAAGGCAGAAAGGAAAATCGTGGTTTGCAGTATGGGCAGCCAGTCATCATGTCTTGGCCACCTCTAGGCTGAGTCTGTGTTCTAGGCTTCCAGCAGCCAAGGTCTCATCCAGCACCCCCTGCTGAGCCCAACTCCCTGACATTTAACCCAGAACCCTTGTCCTTGTTCTGGGCCAGAGTTAAGTCTGTTCTCGGGCAGGCAGATGTCAGTCCAATGGCAGAGAACTGGCCACCACCTCCCTGCTCCCACCCTATGGGGTCCAGGGCTGGAGGGGGTCCCAGACTAGGCCAGAGCACAGAGTCCGCTTTACTCAGCCTTACAGGGAGGCATGGGGTTGATAAGGGGTAAGGACGGGCCTCAGTTGGCCTCTGGAGGGTTGGATGATGAGGGGAGCGCTTGCTGTACAGCTGAAAGGAGGTTCCACCTCCAGCAGCTAGAGTGGGGCCTCAGAACCGACCGAAGGGGACACACACACACGCACACATGCACACACACACGCAGACAGAAACACGGAAAGACAGAGGGACCCAGAGACATGGAGAGACACAGAGAGACTCAGAGATACTGCACATGCCTGCCCTGTCCTTGGACAAGGCCTGGCGCCCCCCACCCACCTGCCTAGCCTCCCCACCTCTCCCAAAAGGTGTCAGGTGGACTTGTGGGACTACACCCCAAAAGGGAATCCCAGGCTTCCACCCTTGGGTGTATTTTGGGGGATGTAGGGGTGGGGACTAGCCATGAGAAGGTCTCTTTAGTACTGGGCTGTCAAAGCCTAGGGTACCTCTTGGACCTGAATCTGCTGCCCCAGGCATCCATCTGTTGCCACCATGGACATAAGAGCCTGGTTCCAGGGGCTGGATGCAGTGTGTGCCTCAGAGTCAGCCTAGGGGACAGCTTGGGGGACTGTGATGAAGGAGTGATGTGAGTTTCCCCTTTGGACATTGGGGGCTGCCTGCTAAATGAGTACACTTTGGGCAGGAGGTGTCATGAGCAGGGGATGAAGAAGCTGACAATACACAGTTCAATTAATAAGAATGTGATGTCAGGGAAATGAAGGAGGGGAGGGGGATGGAGAGGGGCCAGTGGAGTGCACTCTAGACAGGAAGGAACTCTTAGAGGATGTGACTTTTGAAATGAAGCCTGAGGGAGATGAAAGAGATGTGGAGGGATTGAGTGAAAGTGCATTAGGCAGGGGCACAGCCAGTGCAAAGGCCCTGGGGCTGGAATGGCCCAGAGGCTGCAAGGAGTGTTAGAGAAGGAGGTGATGAGGTGATGGGGAGGCTAGGAGCGGGTGAGCCTGGCGCTCTTCAACCTGCCTTGCATTTGGGAAGGTGCCTGGAGGAAACAGGGCCCAGAGAGGGAAGCAGCCTGCCCAACCCTGAAGCCCAGCCAGGCCTCCCTGCCCCCTCTGGCAGCCTGAGAAACCTGAGGCTGGCGGGGCGCAGTGCCAGGGGTGGGCAGGGGAGGGGCTGCCAGGCCTGCCCGCTCCAGGCAGCTGCCAGCCCGCCCCAGCCACCAGCCCAGCTGGTGCCCATTTGCTGATGCTGCCATGCGCCGGCCTCCCGCTCCCGCCTTGTGCAGTGCCAACCTCCCTGAATGGCGCTGAAGGTAGGAGCCAGCTTGGGAAGCTTGAAGCGGAGAGGGGCAGTACACGATGTTCCAACGAGGAGGGGGCAGGAAAAACTGGGAGGGGGGTCCCCAACCCCTTCTGGATGGAACCAGGAAGCAGTAATAACAAAGTTAATAGTAACTGTGACTATGTATTGAGTGCCCACTGTGTGTCCGGTTCTGAGCCCATTCCACATCTCAACTGGTTTAATTCTCTCCACAACCCTGGGAGGGAGGAAGCTTCTCCCACATTTCCCATAAGCAAACAGAGGTCCTGAGATGATCAGGCATTTGCCCACAGTCACACAGCTTGTAAGAGGCAGAGCAAAATTGGAACCCATGGATCTTAAGCCCTCAAAACCCCTAAAAGAAAAAAACTAATAAAATGCTTTTGAGGCTATAAGGTGGGACCCACACTCACCCAGTTGTACAGATGGTAAAAAGGGCAGGCCCTGAGTACACAGTGAATAAATGAATGAAGAGGAGTGAACCCTAATAAAGTGCCTGCTGTGCCCAAACCTGGGGACCAAGGTCTTCATAAAGGGTACTGTGGGGTAGGATGGCAGGAGAAGGGGCCTCAGCCTGGAGCAAGAGGACCCGGGTCAGCCACAGCTCTGCCCCTGGCTTGCTGTGTGACTTAAGGCATAGCCCTGCCCTCTCTGGTTTAGGATTAGGGATGGAGGGGAACTGAGGGCAGGAAGGAAGGGCCTGAGTAAAGCAAGTCAGGCCTTGACTGAGGGGGGTCCCTCTGTCTTCTGGGCGCTGTTAATCTTTATCTCAGCACTGGGTGTTGTGCTAGGAGACAAAGGGTGGACAGAAGGGTGCATGAAGGTACCTATTTCTTTGTATAATGGATACAGTTTGTGTCCCTGCTTGCTCCAGGCTGTGTGAGGTACGTCCCCCTTTCTGAGCCTCAGTTTTGCCATCTATAAACGGGGTGAATATCAACTGTGTCCACTGAATTAAGGGATCAGAGTCAGTG